CGTAGTACTTTCATAGCCCAACCGTATGGTATAACCTACACCTGTGCTATGAAAGAAACTTGATTTGTTGTTAACATAAGTTATAATTATGAATGCCTAACAATATTTACAAGTATTAGCATTATTTGAATAAGATAACTAATGTAATCATGTTAACAATTTATAATTTGATTGGAACCTCCTTTATGTGTGGTTTCCAATTGAATAATAAGAATTTATACTGTACTTATTTGACATACCATTAGTGAATCCTCTAACCTTGACATTTGTTGTTATCATTGTTTAATCCTTACGTTAATCTTCCATTTCAAATCTCTCATCTTCTTCTTCTTCTTTTTTATTAAAATTATTAGTATGAATATTATTATTATTATTATTATTATTATTATTATTTTGTATTATTATTGTTATTATTATGGATTTGTTGTTGTTGTGTTATTGTTATTTATAATTTATATAATTAACCTCCCTGTAGTTCGACCCCGATATTACCGGGTTATTTATTACTTCTACACTCCTACACTTAGAAGAAGACATCAATCTTTTAGTCGTGTCATTGAACTTAAGTTAACATGAGCTTACAAGTTGCGAGGACCAATATATTTAGATTTAGACATGTGCTAAGCTCGAGGTGATGTGGGTGTGACAAGTTGCTAAAACCAATGTACTTAGGTTCAATTATGTACTAAGTATAAGATAACATGAATTTTGGTAAATTGCTAGACTTGTCTCCCCTGGATCTAGCTACATGTCAAGTCTAAGTGGTCTAGAGATCGTTAAAGATCCATATTCAAAATGATAAGTATTCATATCTTAACCACCTAGGTAAAAGGTTCACATTTCTCTCCAAGTATTCATATCTTAAATCTTAGAGCATGTATCATACCAAAATAAGAATAAAAATTTTTGTTCTTGAAATTTAAAGCTCTTTCTTTTATTTATTACAATCCACTATTTAAAAGTCACTGACTTTATGATTGGGCGGTCCCTAAACCCCACCCAAAAAGACTATTTTGCAAACATCAAAACTTCTATCATTAATCATACACTTTATAGGCTATAGAGAAGCAAATATTGATATAAACATGTGATTTATCACTATTCAAATGCTAAATAACCTCATTTATGAGCATACATGATTTTGGGACATCATCAATAATAATATCCATTATATATTCAAAATTGATGATAAAATAATATGATTTGGATCAAGAAAAAAATTTTATTTGGTCTAGGTGGTTGGACGACACAAATACACATTCATATAAACAACTTAATGAAATAACAAAGAAAAGTCACGAACCATCAAAGTGCTAAAAGTCTAAGAAATCTGAACATAACCATGTTCTTGTATTTTACATTCAATCAATGTAGAAAAAAAATTCTAGTCAAGTTAATGAAGTATAACATGAAAGAAGACAAACTATATTAGTTATTAGGAGAACCTATAGACTATATATTGATGTTAAGGAAGCTTAGTTGGAGAACTTAAATAACATATTTTTTAACGAAGTTAGGAGAAATTTTTTTTATGACTAGGAATGAAAATCCCCAGTAAATGCATAAAACCTCAGACAAAATAAAAAATAAATTTATACTTAAAAAATAATAATGGTCAAAGATTTGACAGAAATAATATGTAGGACATTTAATGAGTGGCAATGTTGTAAATTATAAACCTTATGTTTAATAATGTAAGTTCTAACAAGAAAAATAAAAAAA